GTCTTCCATTATAAAGAAATGGTTGTTGCACATACCACACTTATTTTTCTAATTGTCTGAATCTTGAATGCCCAAAGTGTGAAATTTTTATGGATTTTTTGTTTGTGGTGCCATTCAATAGATGGCGCAGGAGTTTTAGTTACATACATAGATACTGGCATTCACGCTACGCCCATTATAGTAAGTTAAATAGGCACATATTCCAGTTAAATTATTAAACTGGTAAATATATGAATGATTCCCCTTCACGTTGCTTTAACTTTCTTATTTTTATAAAATCAAAAGCTAACATTCCCAAACATCTGTGTTCGTCATACTCAATTTATACCAATTTAGATTCTATAGAACCAGTCACACCATGATAGCTATAACAACAACAGTATGCACAAAGATTTAAGTCTTAAGACTATAATTTACCATAATCCATAATCTAAAGGGTTCTTAAACAGTCTGTTAGTATCGTTGAAAAGTTCATTATTCTTTTCTGAACGTTTTAAAATATTAAAAAAAGCGTTTTAATGGAATAACTAAAATACATTTTCAAAAGAGAAAATCTAAGCCTACACATGGTATTAGCTTAGAGTATAATCCTCCTTCGTAACAGTACAGTAGGAATTACTATAATTGATTGTGCCTGGCCGTAACCTGTACGATGTAAGAACAATTAATCACAAAGAATTAGTTTGTTTTTCGTTCTTGTTTGTCAACTTGTATAGTTGCCAAGCCCATTAAATATACACCACAGACTTTAAGATCATCATTTTATGTCGTAAAATTCACAAGATTTTTAGAACTCTAAATCGTCATAGTAACCAATCATTTTGACCTTTGAACCACAACATGACTGATTTATGTGACGTCAGTAATATATCGCGTATTTGCTTAAAGTTCTATCGTCAATCGCAAAAATAAAGTTTTAAAATCTTATACTTTAAATCTTGTAACTAAACATTTATAACGAAGTAGTATTTAGTTATTAACTTTCAGTGATCTACATGCAATTTTCATTAGCATTTTGGGCTTAGCATAGTTTGGTGGTGAAGACGATCGACTCTCAATCTGAGGGTCGCGGGATCGAAACCCGTTCACGAACTTGCTCACCCTTTCAGCCATGAGGGCGTTATGATAATTAATTCCACTGTTCGTCGGTAAAGAGTTGGCGGTTGGTAGTGTTGACTAGCTGTATTCTCTTTTGTTTATCACTTTAAACGCAAATAGCTATCGATTAGCTCTGTGCGAACATTCAACAAACAAGTCACTGGTGTTTTTATATTATACGAACTTGTTACCCCTTTTCTTTTTACGTAATATCTTATACATTTTCAGATTGTATAAAATGTAAATTATTTGTAGTGGTTAGCTAAGCCTTATTTATCTATTACATAAGTATAGTTGCTCATTGCTGAAATGTCTTCATATGTTATATTCACGAGTTCTGTTTTTACCTGACTCGGAAGATACCTTCTTTGAATTTTTTATGGCTGTTAATTTAAATATACATATTACTACAATGCTTTCTTGTACTTTTTAAAAAAATCTACTGTTACTACTCTTATTGAAAACCTAATTATCTATGCTTCCCAATCCCGTGAGTTTATTTCAGTTTTCTTAATGTGAATAAAAGTTGCACAGATACTTGTGGCAGTAAGGTAGTTTAATTTAGAAGTTTGAACTAGAAATGCCCGATAATGGACATACAAATAATCTCCAGTTTTTTGGCAGAAACATGCAAATTATTCAAATTGGTTTAGACAGTTGTTTTCAGTGAGTATCAAGAGAGAGTACATAATAAGTAATATTGTACGCTAGGTCACTTATTAGATGTTACAGTATTAAAAAAATCATCGCAATTGCCAGCAAAAGTAAGATTACTGATGATGTACGAGGAGTCTTCATGAAGAATCTTGATTCAGAATTCAAAGTTGATCCGAAACCTTTGATCGAAATTTGCTCCAGGGTTTCAAGCTTGGTATACTTTGTTTTTTTTAACTGTAAATTAGTCACTGTAATGAAATTCTCTCATCAATTCGAATCAATTATTTCATGCAAAATCAAACTTTTTTTTTTTTCAAAAACAATAGCGAGCAGTTTTTGGACAGTTAATTACATAGGCCTGCGAATTTAAACTTCTTAAAAGTTGTTTTGGTTTTAATAACGGATTTTCCATATATCAGCTACGAAGATTTCGAAAATAATATTCTTTTTTTTTCTATCACGTAAGAATTTTTTACAACTCGGGAAGAAAAAAAAAACTCTTGCACAGATCAAATTATTATTTCGTTTTCCACAATGAACATTTTTTTATTATTATGTTTGTGTTCTAGAACGGTCGATAAGCCCCATGTCGCGATTGGTATAGATAAATCTATAGCCAGTGGTTGTCAACATTTTAAGCCTAACTAAATGATTCACTCATGTAAAAGTACGTATGACGTTTTTGTGAAAAATCTCTACGTGATGGAGATAAATGGAATTGTTGTAGAACATGTAAACATTTCAAGACAATAAAACCATTGCAGGCCTATGTTATCATTGTTACCATTATTTCAGCAACAAATGATGGGGTAGTATTTCAAAACTCGTACAGTCGAAATGTTGCTAAAACGAATAATTTGATATATTTATATTGACTTAGTCGTTTTGGGATGATTTATGTTACTACATGACGTAATAACAGTTATATATATGTGTGTGTGTGTGTTTCCGTGTAAAGGAGTGATAAACGCGACTATACTTTCCTGTTTAAAGGTAAAACATGTACATACACGTGTATGCCGGTAGAGAAGTTGGCGAAACTTGTTGCCTATAGGGGGCATAAGATGCGATTTGTTATCTTGAATAAAAGGTCCAAAGTTGCTTTGACATACTTGTATGTTTAACAACTACACTATGCACAGACTAATGATTTTACTTTAAACTTTGTATATACAGCTATATCTTGTCGACGTGTCGGAAGCACCCAATCTTTCGCAAATGATTTGAATCCTGTTCCTGTATCACTGGTACTTGTAAGATTCATATAATCAGTCAGGAACAATTTTCTATAGAACAGATGTAAGTAATTTATTTTTATTTAGTGGAATTATTCAGCCACCCGTATAGAGCATACAAAAATTTAAGTTTTAATTATTAGGCGAATTTCAAGTTCAGCTTTTCGTGTTTTACAATGATTGTGTATATGTATTTCCGTGTATCTGTATTCAACGGTTAATTGAATGTTATTTTTGCCCTTTTTGAATGCATGTTACTTCAACGTTTTTTTTTTTTTTGTAACTAAGGGATTTTAGGTACTTTAACTTGTCCTCCATTACTTTAACTTTTCATAACGTTGCTCTCTGAATAAATTGACATCATCGCTGTTTTGAACCCTCCATCCCCCCTATTTCCATAGTAGAGCTATCAAATTCTAACATATTACTCTCCAATTGACTTCTTCGTGCTTCTTACATGATTTTTTTAACTTTTGGTACTTATCACAAAAAGTTGTCGTGCTTTTGGAAATAGTGAACACATTATTTTTTCCCCACTAGTTTAGTTCAAGCAGTTTTAGGTTGTGTTTATAATTGTAGATTTATTTTTTCTTGTGCAGTAGTATTATAAGGCTCAGAAAGACCTGTATAGAATCTAATGACACGCATTTCCAGGGAGCATTCTCAGCATTTTGTTTTTGCTGTTAATTATCCAAATACCATTGGAAATGCTCTTTAGCTCACGTAGATCAGGCCCACTGACCTCCCCCGGTGGGACAGCAGTAAGTTTCAGGATTTACAACGCTAAAATCAGGGGTTCGATTCCCTCTGGTAGACACACTCCCTTTTTTCAAACATAGTTCTCCCAGTGGCACAGCTGTATTTTTGCGGCCTTATACTGCTAGAAATCGGGTTTCGATACCCGTGGTGGGTAGAACACAGATAACCCATTGTGTAGCTTTGTGCTTAATAACAAACAACAACAAGGCTTCCGCCAGTACTTCAGAAACAAGATGTTTGTTTTGTGACTCTGTTTTACCCCAGAAAATGAAATCTAACAACGTATATATTTAGTGTGTGTATATGTGTAATTATTATAATCATTACAAGGCGGTAAATGGTTATTTAATTTGTGTCACGAATTGGTGTTAGTGTGTCATATCGTTTTGATTTACATATGTTGTGTATATTTTAGAATCAAATCCTGAAAACGGAAAATGATTTAGAGGGGGGGGGGAGTGTTGCAACGGAGATTAAGCAAAATGTTCACATCATATTTTGTTACTTTGATAACTACCAAAACATAAAAAAAGAATCCCAGAATATGATATTATAAAGTTGTTATTAATCAGGGTTCGTGTTCGGGATTTTATTCTGATATATTGCAAATTTGTCATTAATATATATCTATAGAACCAGTTGAAGAAGTATTATTGGGGAAATCCAGATAGTAGCATTGAAGGGTGGAGGACGAGAGCTATACTAAAACAGAAGATTGGTTTTAGTATAATAATACCACAACGTCTTGGTTTAATGTCCAAATATCATGTTGAGGGCTGGAATGCCAACTTCAAGGACAGTTTTGTTGTCTTCCCTATTGATATATAGTACTTTATTACTCTTCTTACTGCCCTTTTTCTTCCTTTAAATGTAACAAGAGAACAACTACTTTTCCACTTGTGGTTGTAGACAAACGAAAGGTGGTAAATATGTGGGACGTTGTGGGCTTGAGCACACACACATCTGGCTGCAGACAGTGAAAGGTGGTAAATATGTGGGACGTTGTGGGCTTGAGCACATACACATTATTATATTTAAACATGTGAGCTCGGCGAAATTGAGATTAAACCGGATAGATGAAGTACCCCCCCCCCCTCAACGCAAATTGGGTCTTACTTCCGCCGGTACCTGAAAAACCAACACACATTACATAATGATCCTCCTCCTGGTGTTGGATGTTTGTTTTGTGGCCGGTACCTGAAAAACCAACACACATTACATAATGATCCTCCTGCTGGTGTTGGATGTTTGTTTTGTGGCCGGTACCTGAAAAACCAACACACATTACATAATGATCCTCCTGCTGGTGTTGGATGTTTGTTTTGTGGCCGGTACCTGAAAAACCAACACACATTACATAATGATCCTCCTCCCGGTGTTGGATGTTTGTTTTATGGCTGTGTTTTTACCTCAGAAAATTATATCTAACAACATATATAGTTGTTTTTTGTTTAGGACCAGAAATATTGCTAACAACTGATAAAGCAATGCATTTTAATATTTATAAGTAATTAATTAGCTGTTCTAGTGGCCAGGTTTATTCTTAATGTCTGATACGAAGTTATCATTTAAACGTATTCTTTTAACACTGCACCAAATTGCTTGTAGAGTCACGGCTGTTGGCCACGAGATTTTTAATAACAAGGGATAAAACAGCTGGTAGTTTTAGTCGGATATCTGACTCTTGATATCCTATCGGATAGTAGATGTGTGGCCATACATATTGAAAAATGCGACGCAGGAGGGAGTTACTACTTCATTATAGTATAGCATTAAATTAATTACTTTGCCATTGTTTTTTTTAAAATATAAATCTAATAAAGATGTACAGTATGAGTAAGCAGTTATTGCTGGCTCTTTAAGGGAATGCAGTAGGTGATTCGTTGAAACAGTGACTTGTACTTCCAATCATTTACCGAGACTGTTGTTTGGATTGTGCATGCCGTTGTTGTCACTGCAGATTCCTTGACCAAGTCTGGCATACAATAGTAATACAAAGGGTTGGTTTGATGTTTATCTAAACTACATAACACATGGATGTATTACGACTACCAGAACTTCCACTCCTTAATACCAAGGGCAAAGTTACTATATTTAGAAACTAGTAGAAAATACTAGATGACGCAGTTCCTATTATGTATGACACACATGCAAGCAGCATCACGCCTGCATAATGTTGTCAGAGAATCCATGCTATCTGGTTATCCGATTCATTTTCCAAAGACAATGGCTAATTTTACTAACTTTCTTCGAGCTGTTCTTTATACTGAGTGTTGTGACAGTAAGAAACAAAATTACTCAATATGTAGATCTTTGTAAGCAACCAGGTAATGTGAGGGTTAACATTTGGTTTGAATTTTTTGGTCCTGCTAATAAAACTCCTTGGCTCGAACTGTGGATGTTGCCAGTCTAATTCAACTTTCGTAATACTATTGTTTACTGTGTTTTATTACAATTAAGCACATGTATTCATAGAAAAAAATACACATGAGAAACATGAAAAGAGATAACTCCTATACATCTATCAAAGCTTTCAAGCGACATTACTTCCTATATTCATGTTTAATTTTAATACATCATAAAAAATCAAATGTAGTGACATCGCAATTCTGTCTTAAGAAATTTAATAGTTTTTTATACAAACACGTGATAATGCATCATGGCTTTCTATTTAGCTGTTATAGCATTACATTTTATTGGGCATCATTTTAGCCCGTCACTACAACAGATACTTCAAAATCAATCTATCACCTATTGTTTGTATAATATAAAAGCCTATTTAGAATCTTATATTGTATTTGATTACTATTTTTTCTTATATTTCTCAACGTAAATATTCAGACCCTTTGAAAATGTATGAATTGTAACAGTTTTTCAAATTGCGAGTACTATTTGAGTATAAAAGCGGAGCATTCGATTGTCATACGAAAACTCTGGTTTCGATGACAAATGCCTATATTAAATCTAATTATAGTATATATATGTTTAAGAATCAAAATCTAAACTTCATTGGTTGGGTTATCGGATTCACCGTTTTTTGGATTCTGAACTTAGTGATAAATGCAAATAAATGTGATAAATTTGTGAAGAAATTCAATTATTTAAATTATAACACCTAATTCATATGCAACTATCAAGTGTTAAAATTCAGTGGAACATACTGAAGTTTCCTGTCTTTGTTTTTTCCTTAATTTTCATTGAATGTAAACGAATCAGTAGTAGTTGTCATTCCTAAGCCTACCCGTTAATATATGATCAATAACACAGCAATATCATGGTTTTCACGAAGACTTACTTTCCCTAATATATGATCAATAACACGCCAATATCATGGTTTTCAGGAAGACTCACTTTCCCATATGTATGATCAATAACACAGCAATATCATGATTTTCACGAAGACTTACTTTCCCTAATAAATGATCAATAACATAGCAATATCATGGTTTTCAGGAAGACTCACTTTCCCA